CAGGCAGTGCAGAGGAAAAGAGAAAGGGCTCCCAGAGGCAGAACAAAGGAGACAAGAATGTCAGGTTAGCCAGATCACAAGATTTGGAGGGGAAATAAAGAGAATTGAAGATTCCTGCTTTGCCTTTCAAAGGTACTTAGAGCTCTCATCAGAGCCCTGGCAGAAAGAACTGCAGAGGAACCAGTTCCCTAAAATCATTTTGATACTAAACACCTCAGAAACCACAAGGTTAGCGAGGGACTTTTTGGCTTCTGTCCAGTTGGGTGTCCTTAAATTTGAGGTGAAGTCCCCAAGGTGCTGTGAGGTGTTTTTTAACCAAATTGAGGAGAGAAACTTGTGGGCTTTTATCCTTTCTAAGGAGACAAAGGGCAACTTGTTTACTCCATTAACAAGGACACATCCCTACACGCAGTCAGCTCATCTCCCAAAAATCAGGAGTTCTCTCACTCCGAGCAGCAAATTCTCCCATCCACCTCCCTCCTGCTCCCTCTCTCCCCACGGCAGAAATGAGCAGCTGAAGGTGAAGAAGGCAAAACCAGCCCCTCAAACCCAGATTTGTGGACAGCAGCTGGATCCATGACCCGGCTGTTTCACCCAAAGCTCATTTTTCACCTCCCAGCAGCCTCAGGAATCCGTGGCACGATTCCTTGGCCTGCCCAGGGTCCTGCAGCCAAATTATTTCATCTCCACTCAAGAGGAAGAAAAGGTTTCCTAAGACAAAGCCTGGCCCCAGCAGGACCCCAGGCTATTTTGGGGTAATTTTTGGGGGGTTATTTTTGCCCCAGCTGCTATTTTTGGGCAAAGCCAAACCCCTGTGAGGGGCTGTGGCAGCTCCAGATGTGACTCGGCCGCCGAGGGGGGACAGCAACACCCGAGCCAGATGTGCTGGGGTGGCCTCACGGAGCCCTTTGGTGACATTTGGGACCTCCAGCCCAGCTGCTTCTGCTCAGCATGACACCTCCCACGTCCCAGGGGATGACATTCCTGGCAGCAATCTTCCTCCTGAGCAAGCCACTTCCACTGGGAAACATTTTCTGCCTGGGCTCCAGCGACAGAACTGTCACCCACAGCCTCACCATGGGCTAAAAATGGCTTTTTCTGAAAAAAAAAACAAAAAAAAAAACCCACTTCCAGTCTTTTGGAAATCTCCTACAGTCCCAAGGGCTGGTTTTGTCTTTCAGCAGCTGTAAATGTAGTTAAAAAAATAGGTGCTTGGGGTTTTTTAAAGGTTTTTTGGGTGGGTTTTTCCCCCAACCCCCCAAAAAAAAGAAACAAAAAAAAAGGAACCAAGAAAAAAAAAAAGAAAAAAAAGCTCTGAGTGCCCCCCTGAGAGAAGCAAAGCAGAGCAGTCTGCTCAGCCTGCAGTTGCTATGAAGAGGAATTTTGCTGTTGCAGAGCATTCCCAAAATCCACAGTGCTGGAGAATTCCCAAGAGACAGAACTGTACTTCCTTTTTTCAAGCTGGAATCCAAACGCCAGGCAGCTGGAGGTCCAGCTCAGCTCAGGAAATGCAGCCCAGTGCTGCTAAGGGCTGCTGGAACCCAGCCCTCTGTCTCCATCCCAGACTAAAATTAGCATTTCACTGCCAAGTTTAGACTAAAAACGTTTCTAAAAACCACCCCAGCAGCCCCCAGTTGCACTGCTCCAACAAAAGCAAAATTCAACATCAAGATGTGCTTCAGGTAGAGCAGGTGATAAGCTATAAAATGCTATAAAATCCTATAAAATGCTATAAACTGCCCTGATCTGAGCCTATTCTATGGACTGCAATATTTGGTAGGAGCCCAAAGGGGAGCTCCAATTAATAAACCCCAATTATTTTCACACTGAGAGACCCAGAAAACCAGCCAAACCCTGTGTGATGAAAGTGCTCAAAGGCTGAAGTTGCAGTAAGAAAAACTGTAAAAAAATTGTAAAGAAAAATAGAAAAAATATAAAGAAAAGCCTCATAAAATCAGGCCTTCTCTGCCTGGACTGTCATTTCTTCTAAGCCAAGCTAGCATTTTGCAAGTTCCCATGTGAAAGCAACCCTGGTGTGAACAGATCATTAACAAAACAATCTGTTCCTGGGTCAAAAACAACTTAGCACCCGTATAAAGTGGTTTTACACTGTTAGATAGAAAAATGAAAACTATCTTTCACAAACAACTTTCTGTACACACCGAGAGTCTGAGTGACCAATCAATACAACAAAATAATAATACAAGAATAACAACTTGTTACTAACTAATAAAAGCAGTTGGCAAGAAAGCTCCTAGCCAAATGGAGGACCGTAAAACTGTATAAAAAGGAGTTCTGTGGATAAAGAAGGGGATTTTTCTACCATTAGGAAAATGGAGTTGTTGTGATTTATTCCCATAGGCTGCCATTGAAAGGAGGGGCAGGTGAGAGCTGTGACCTGGGCACTCGGGGAGGGACGTGGGTGAGCACTGATCTCGTCCCCAGTGATGCCTCAGGTTTTGGTTTTTCTGTTTTCCACATTCTGTGCTGATGTCCCAGGTTTTGGTTTTTCTGTTTTTCAGATTCTGTGCTGATGTCTCAGGTTTTGGTTTTTTTATTTTTCAGATTCTGTGCTGATGTCTCAGGTTTTGGCTTTTTTATTTTTCACATTCTGTGCTGATGTCTTAGGTTTAACTTTTCTATTTTTCACATTCTCTGCTGCTTTAGTGTGTGGCTCTGAGCTTCCCACGAGGGGATGCTGAGCTCTCTGCACAGAGCAGAGACAAAACAATTCCTGCTCCAGCTGGGCACCAAGGACAAATGATCCAAATCTCAGCCCAGGAGCACCAACAGCGTGGGCTGGAGAGAGAAAAACAAGCAGGATGGGACTG